GACATTGAATTTTCGTGTAGTTTCTATCGAATAAACAGCTACACGGGATTTTTTTTTTCATTTTAATTATTTTGACAACTTTGTTTTTAAAAGGCTAACCAATTATATGACGTAGCCTATTATCTATGTTCATAGCGTTGCCAACTGGGTATAACATCAGCGAGAGCTATAGAAAACTAGGAAATCATTCAATGTTTTGATAGGTGTTGACTTATGTGCTTCTCTTGAAAATTCAGCGGTGGCTGTGTATTTATGAGATCAACACACAGCCAGTGTTTCTTTCAGGCATCTCACAAAGGGGGGGGGGGTGTTAATGCCCCTTCCCCTACCTTCCTCAACCGGGCAAGTCTATCTTCCGTCCGTCGTCGTCCAGACGTAATAGAGAAAAAAATATCTAACTTATAAAGAAAATAAATATATACTTCAACCAGAGTCGACTACTCCCCCGGTAGTTTCAAGTGCCTCCCACCCCCTTTTTTTCTGAGAAAAATGTCTGAACGAAACCCTGTATCACCCTGCATCGAATCCCAATAAATTCAGAGACCGCTGTGTCTTTAGAAGATCAGTAAAAGAAAATACACGATAGCGTTTTAAAATAACGCATCCGAGTGTCTCCCCCCCCCCCCCTCCACCATGTCTCTGAGCCTTTCTCTCCCAAGCTATCATCATCGCCGTGGGTTGACTTCAACATTTAAATCTTAAATCAACAAGCAGCTAATCTAATGAAACTCGATAGTAATACGTTTTGTGAAAATGTGAGTTATATCGAGGATTCTTAACTACAACACACTCATTGCTATTTCTAAATAAAATTTTATGAAAACTCAAAACATCGACAAAAGTACGAGAGGAATTTTAAATTATTCGCACTATTGTTTGGCTTAACGATTCGGTTTTAAAAATTGCTTAAAATAAGTTGTTGTAGCAGCCAAAGACACTAAGTATTCATTTCATTTGCCTCTTTAATTTTTTAAAGCTTTGCAAAATACTATAGAACAAACATATATATATATATATATATATATATATATATATATATATATATACATATATATATATATATATATATATATATATATATATGTGTGTGTGTGTGTGTGTGTGTGCGTGCGTGCGTGCGTGCAAGCTATCGTAAACATGTTTGTGCGTATATTGATGTGCATGTATAGTATTTCAATATTAAACATCAGATATCAAAATATCTTTTCTAATGAAACATTTCAAAAAGAAACTGCTGCGTTGTAGAGATCTAATTCCCTCTCGACTTACAGCCTATTCCATTAGAAATGTTAGAGCACCTACTAGTGATTGATGTCATTCAATGCTAATTTTTCCAACCCACACTACATACAATACCTATTTTCATCGCTGAAAATATACATTGAAATCGTGGATATTGTTCTGGCCACCTACTGAAACTGAAAGTGCTGAATGGTTGTTAGGGATTATATTACACATCGTAACTACAACCGTTAGATATAGTAGATCTATTTACGGTAATCTAAATATCTAATAGTGTTGTGTGGGCTTTGATGATGCTGAGCTTAATGTTTTGATTATGTTATAAAGCCGGAGGTAAGTTGCTGTCTTTGTTATATAGAGCTGAATGAGGAATCCAGTAGAGTGTATGATCAATTATACCGAAAGGAGAATTTACATCTTCAAGTTATCGAATGTTTGATGCTGAAATGTTACTTGTGGGTTTTGTGATTGGTGTTTGGTTTGTTTTCTTTCTTCGCTCGACATTTTTATAAAAGATCTAGGGTGGTCGAGTCGGTTAAGCTCATGGTTGCTAGACCGAAAAGTCTCGAGTTCGAACCCTCGGGCAGATGAGGCTCGTTAGCTGGAGACAACTAAAAAAATCAGACAACTGCTGCATTGTAGTTTATTATTGGTTGGACAAAGGCTATAGAAGCAAATCCAAAAAATAAAAAACAGGCTGAAATCGGAGTCAATGGCCTCAATGGCGCATAACCAGTTGACACGTATACTTAATTGCGTTGGAGGGGAATTTCTTCCAACACTAAAATTAAGAACGAAGAGGAAGAAAACATCTCTTAAACCTTATCTGTTAATTCTCACTTAATAACTTTTCATGAATCACGTTGTCATTTAACTGGGTTGATTTTTTTTTCCAAAATGAAATGTTACTTTGGACGCAGAACATCTCAAATTCGAATTTAATATTGAAAGTATAACACTAGCAATATTTGTCATTGATTTTCCTTAACTGTTTGCAAACTGTTTTATACATTTTTTTCAAACTAATTTTTCTTGCTGTAATTGTTTCCACGTCTAAACAACCGTGTGTATGCTACCCTCTTATCCTGGCGCAACCAACCTAATATATAACGAACTTAAAACATACACAGCGAACTTAAAACATATACAGGAACAGAAGACCTTCTATAATGCGAACAATAATAGAAAAAAAAACGAACACTAACCTTGTATACAAAGAATGCAAATCTATTCAGCAAGCAAAAAATGTTCAATGCAGCAAACAAAAACCTATTAAATGAACACAAAACTATGCAACAAACACAAATATTCAATAAACGATCACAAATCTATACAGCGAATAAAAACCTACTATTAAACAAAAACGTATATAGGCCTACAACGAACAGAAATATTCAATAAACGATCACAAATCTACACAGCAAATATAAACCTACTATTAAACAAAAACGTATATACAACGAACAGAAATACTCTCTAAACGATCACAAATCTATATAGAAAAAACAAACCTACTATCAAAGAAAAACATATTTCGAGCATTTAACAAGTGCCCCAAAAGGCAACAGAAGGCCAGATGGAGAGAAACCAGAAGTTAGAAAAACAAAATTAAACCCAACAAAGATGGATCTTATTTTGTGATTTTAATAATTTTTAATTTTGTAGCGAGAAATATTTTTTTAATAGCTCAAAGTTTTAAATATTTTTAACCAATCTAAGAGCGTTAAAACTTTCTGATATCGAAATTTTTGTTTTTTCCTAAAATTTGACAGCATGGGATGGCATGAATGTTAACAAAATTTATTTATTTTTTTAACCCTATCTTTGTTTTTGTTGTTTCCTTTTTTTATGTTAACATAATGTATGTATTTTTCAACATTTGCGGAAGGATCTTAGCAAAATGTGTGGGTTATTTGTTTTTTTTTTGGAGGGGGGGGGGGGCTTGGATGTTAACAAAATGTATGTATTTTTTAACACTAGTTAAATGAGTACAGCAAAATGTCGTGTGTTTTTATGTTTTATTTTTTTTTATGTTAACAAAATTTATATATTTTTTAACACCAGGGAAAAATATTGTGTGGTTTCTTAGTTATTTTTCTTAGATACTTAGATACTTTGAACACTGATCGTCACAATCTATTTCACCTGTGGTTTCATGTGGTGTGTGTTGGTGTGTGGGTGGGTGTGGGGGTTGTCTGCTCTCATAGGTATAATCGAATTTCAATTAGAGCTTAATAGACTTTCTAAACGGCTGCAGACTAGCAACGGCTGGTCAATTTATCTTTCATTTGTAATTAGTGAGCTATTAGATTTCCCCAACAATAAGGAAAACTTTCTTACCAAATTTATTTCAATCATAAAGCAATTAAGCGGCATCCGTATTACAGACATATTATTTTGAATTGATTGTTTTCAAAAACGTTTGTAAAAACATTGCCGGGGCAATTTTTACTTTATCGTTTCAGAATTGCTCATATTCTAGAAAACTTGATCTCTCCGGGTATATGGAAGTTGTGTCTATGCACATTTTAGACAAAATGGGAAATTTTATCAGTGATTAATTAAAAACAAAGAAGTTCTTTACAATGAAACATCGAGTTTACACTTGCGACATGTATGCTATACATGTCTAGAAACAAAAAAAATTATTACAAAAGAGTAGCCCCCCCTACACACACACACCCATACTATATATATATGTTCAGACAAATAACTTAATGACGAAGATTTTGTATACATGTCGCACATGTATAGTATACATGTCGCAAGTGTAAACGCGGTGTAAAATATACGAAGTCATCAGCCAATGTCTTTGAGCGGACCATGACACCACAACCACCGACATAACGACTTAGTGTGTAGCTAATACCGTGCTTTAAGTATAAAATGTATACTTATCACGCTGACATGCTTTATAAAAACACGCACAGCTTTCACTGCTTCCACAGTATTCACATTTCATCGTTTTAGATGGCCCCTTACCCGGGTGTATTGATGTAAGGGGTGGGGCGTGTCCAATACGGCTCAAAATGTCTTTTAATAAAACGTGTGTTTTCCATATTGTGAATTTAAACCATATGCTCTTTTTACTATTCAGAAATATATACGTTTTGTACCAACATATGCAAATACCGACTACCGGTGTTTTTTTAATGAATATTTAACATTGCCGGTTGTTGCTATACGGTTTTTTTTTTTATCTGTCCCCTAAGGCATCAACAAATGAGCGACTTGTACTAGACTTCATCTAAATCGTCATTATGGTAATAAAAGATCTGGATATACATATTAAGTCATCGATTTTTTTACTAACGTTAGTTTCAAGGTATTCATCAGTAAATAACACTTTCGCGTAAATGTGATGAAATAAACATTTTATAATTTTTCTGGGATTGACAAAAAAAGATTTTCATCGCAGTAGCATAGGATTAATTTTTGAGTAATCAGTGAGTTTTGTTAACATTTCAATATTTGCGTATCAAACATTTTTCAAGACGTTGTTGTTATATATTAACTGGCCATGGCATAAGGATGTTGATCACTTAAAATATTGTATCTTGGTTAGTTATTCACATTAGCGGGCACTGTATTTACAGGCTGTAGCGTTACTTAAAACTCTTAATCTTAGGGGCACCGTCTTATTATTATGTTATTTAACACAAACACACACTCATATATATATATATATATATATATATATATATATATATATATATATATATATATATATATATATATATATATATAATGGAACCTACCTGTTATGTTGGAGGAGAAATTCTGGTCAGGTGAGAGGGAAAAATTGAACATCTCCGGTTCCATGGTTGATGCGAACATGTTCTCAGATTTCCAGAGCCCGATCTAATTACCGGCCGACGATGAGATGATTAAACACGGGGCAGTAGAGCGATGAATCACTGAGAAGATTGTTATCGATAATAGGTTACACGATATCGCTGGACGTCCGCGACCAGGATAGCCAATACAGCCTTGTCCCATGGTCGTTAATTGTATCAAAACAGATGAATCCTCTTATAGTCCTCTGATGGTTTAATGTGAATTGGGGTGAATCAATGTGTATTAATATGAGTTGGTAAGGCTTGAAGTATTTTCATCAAATCCTTTATTTAAAAAAAATTCTATTTAGAAAAAATAATTTCTACTTAAACTTACATATATATATATATATATATATATATATATATATATATATATATATATATATACATATATATATATATATATATATATATATATATATATATATATATATATATATAAGATATAAAAATAGATAGATATATACTAATATAAATGTAGTCCACGCACTTGTTCAGTACTTGTCCAAATATGACCACTAAAACTACTCACAAAAGGTCTTTGTGCGAGGCTTCTCCGTTCAAAATTTAACAAAAGAATGTGTGGGCGATAATCCTAAAACTGCAGGAGCTATGTCGAAATGAAAATAACTGGCTTATACATTTCAATCAGAGCTTAGCGTACGCCTCTCTACGCAATACCACGCGACAGCATAAAGCTACGCGAAAACAGAAACAGAAGTCCTGAATTGTGTTAATCATCCTGCATGACAGAACGTCAAAATGAAGAAATCTGCCAAACAAATTCCACGAAGACTTACTAAACGGAAATAATAATCCGAAGAATTTTTTTTTTCGTTTAGCGATACGAATAATTGTAAGGACGAGAACGGCAACTGCGAATACGCGCCCCCACGAACTGCGAATACGCGCCCCCACTACCTTAGCGCATCGCTCGGTTCCCGGTTGCTGGAAGCTCCGCACGGCGCGAAGTTCGCGGCCGGAAGTTACCGGTCGATGTGATCACGCTGTACGTCATGGTGATATTTTTGTTATTGTTGGGTAACCCCCGCGCTAAAAGCTGGGAAATTCAACGTGCGATATCTAATTTAGAAGCTGTAATTAATTGCTTTAGAAATAATTTTAACCCGAGGCGAAGGTGGGGGTGTTTAATCCCAGGGATTATAAAGAGAATGTCTGTGGAACTCGCCCACTCGCTTGCGAAATGAAATTTTTTGTATTTTTTTACGCTTATAAAACAAACGTATCCTTTTAAAATACTGCCTCCGTATCTTTTAAAAGGATTTCCTTATTTTAGCTAAATGTATAGGCTTATTTTGGATAAGACATTTTTAAAGAAACATTTTACTTAAGATATGTTTCACAGTTTAAAAAAATTGATAAACTAGCTTTCAGTTTTCAGTGTCACTGTATTAAAATCATGGTAAAAATGTGTAAGAGCCGTGGTATATGATATTGTTTATGTTTCTACCAAATTCTGAAAATTTTATTTAACTGATGACATAGAATTATGCCACGAATTGCATTTTGTTGTGCCTTAATGTTGAATCTCAACACCGTGTTTTAAGTTCTGTATGCTCGTAACAAAGTATTTAGAAAAAGCGCAAAAGTAACCAATTGTTTTACAGGTATCTACTTATATGGACAATAATATTTTAGTAATCGAAGTCAGTCTTCAAAGGAGATCAATAAAGTATCTACCCCCCCCCTCCCCCGTTTAATCCCAAACCACCCTCTCCATACCAATCAAATCATGTCAAGTACACTTGGTCTCAGCCCTTTTTAAGCTCCTGTCAACCCGAAAAGGTTTGGCTTGGCGGGATGTAGCTTGAATAATAAACAACTATGCTAATTTTAGACAAAAACACGTGGGATTATAGTGGTAGGTTTATAACTCGCCCGGTTTGTAAAAATATAATATTTAACTATAAACGATCACAGTATAATAACTATTACATATCATTATCGATCTCTACTGAAAACATTGTTTTTGATTTGTCTACTGTCTACTGTTATAGGGCTGGTAAGTAGGTCACCAATCAATTCTACGGCTCAATAAAACCTGCATGAGCCATAGAGCTGGTTGGTGACCTACTTACCACCCTTATAATACTTTCCCAGATTCAAACATCACTGTTGCTACGTATCTGTATCACTTAGTCCCGTTTCCTGTCCGTTATCTTAGTTAAACAGCTTGTCCTAACGGTTGCTCAACTTCCAGTTTCTCCATGCTCTTTGACCTTATTAATGACCGTTGACCTCTATCACTATCCAACTTTCCTAAGATCCTGGAGATTCACTAAGTTTTGTTTACTTCCTAGAGGTTTAAAGTCATATTCAGTCGTCTTACCAGACAGCAGTTAGATCAATATCACCTTTCATAAGATCTTTGATTTCGTCAAGAAATTCTGCCGGCATTCGCTAAATGCCGGTCGCCAAATGCCGGTCGCCAAATGCCGGTCGCCAAATGCCGGTTGACCTCACCTGTACTCCCGTGTAAAATCTCCAACTGCCTCCACATAAGATCGACGTGACCTAAAATTGAAACAAGCAGTGTCAAGGACGAATTGGATTTTTGAATTATTTTTTTGTGTTGTAATACATTTATATGCTTCCCAGAAACAGACCACGGGATCGATGAAAGATAATTATGTCTGCTTGGCCGTAATTTCGTCTGGAACATATCAAACAAAATGTTGGAATGTTTTTCTTGTTTGTTTTTACTGGCTTTTTGTTAACGAATCTATTATTTTTTAACGGGGATAATACGACTGTAATGATATCAAATACATGTACTTTTTGTTCTCTCTTCGTATAATGAACATTTGCGATAGAGGAAGCTACGTTTTATGACTTGAACATTACAGATAAGGATCGGTTTAAACAGAATGTATTCAGGCAATGATGTGGCTAAAGGAAATAAAATAATATATTCGATCCCGACGGTGTATTGGGTAAATGCGTAGATTTTAATATATTTTTTAACTACGGCAAAAGAAAGGATAGCGTGATCATGCTTTATCCAGGGGGACTTTCGATCAGGCAGGTACCAATCTCAAACTCAAGACTTCCGGGTTAGCAGTCGAACGCTCTACCACTCGGCAACGCCGTCCAATATAACAAAATGGATTAATCAATAACTAGCTAGGTAACTCTTCAATGTTAAAAGTTTCAGTTGGTTTAGATCCAGCAATAAAGAGTAGGTGTGGCTTTCATGTCTTGGTGGTACGGTATGTATTCAAGTCGGTTTTTACAGCACAATGTAGGGTATCCAAAAGCGCTGTTCTGTAACTTCTAATGATGGGTTCGTGAAATCACGAGTAGAACAATGGGGGGGGGGGGGGGGGTAATGTCGGGGGGATGTCTGTGTGTATGTGGGGGGGGGGGGGTAATTGGCGATGGGTAGTTGCTCCGGGGGGTAATGTCGGGGGAGTTGAATGTCCGGGGGTTAATCGGCAGGAGGGGTCATTGCTTGGGGCGTAATTGACGGGTTAATGTCAGGGGAATGTCTGTTGGGTGGGGGGGGTATTGACTGTGGGTAATTGACGGTGGGTAATTGCTCAGGGGCTTATGTGGGGGCAGTTGAATGTAAAAAAGTAAAGTTCCCTTTTCAAACTTGACAGTCTATAGGGCAAGTGAAGTAGAGTTCACTTGTTTCTGTGACCTTGGCATATGAAGAGATAGTGTGGTCAGCACTATGCCCAGCCGCCTTTACTTTCCCTAACGCGAGTTAGGTACCCATCTGAGTTGGGTGGACTCAGGGACGATCTACTGACATCGAACCCGAGACTTACTTAGATGAATGTCCACGGCGTAATTTACGACAGATTCATCGTTCCGGGTGGGGGGGGGGGGGTGGAATGTCCGGGGGTTAATTGCTCGGGAAATAATTGACGGGGTAATGTCCTGCTCCTGGAATAATAGATCCGACAATATTGACTTATAACTCCTTTTACTAAAAGAGTAATTATATTGATACCTCTTATTGAGAGCTACGGTTTTAAACATCTACATTTCTTAGATACCCTGTTGATAACTATCTACAATTTAAATATATAAATCAAATAATGAAATAGAAAAATTTTAAACTATTTTCTAAACTATAACAAGGCGAGCCAATATACTAAACATAAATCTACATGAACACAAAGGAAGTCATAAACCAATTCCATTTCTATACACCGACCGGTCAGCGCTGTATTCTAAAATTAATAGAAATTCGTATCATCACTAGGTCTATTCACAACACTCACAGTATCCCTGGAGATAGAAGCTTAAATTTCTTTCTTTATGTCAATGACTCTTGTAGCTTTTCAAGTACATGACCTTTTTGCTCTCAGACGTTATCGTTGAGTGAGACTTGGTGTGGTATAAGCATAGTTCATTTAGGTGTTTGAAAGCCTTAGTACTGCTAGTTGTGACTACGAGAGGATTAAGTCCTACAAGCGAGTGTTATCTATGTATTTATTATCTCCGCCTCTCTAAAGTAGATATACGCATATTTATGGATATGGCTCTATATGGATATGGCATTGGAAATCCATGCACACAGTCCGGGTGTTAAGATGAGAAGAGCCAGATGTTGCCCATGTATCAGGCCTCATCTCTCCACACAGCTGATGGACCCAAGGGACATGACGTTACCTGTACAGCTTGGAATCAGTGGTGTCGCAGGAGCTGTCGAAAGGAAACCAGATACAGATAGGCCTACTTGGGTCAAACACAAATCCTCGAATGCACGTTTGTCCGATCTTTGTCTTAAGATCATTTGTCCTGAGATCATTTGTCCTGAGATCATTTGTCCTGAGATCATTTGTCCTAAGATCATTTGTTCTAAGACCATTTGTTCTGAGATCATTTGTCCTTAGATCATTTGTCCTGAGATCATTTGTTCTAAGATCATTTGCCCTGAGATCATTTGTATTTAGATCATTTTTCCTGAAATCATTTGTTCTAAGATCACTTGTTCTAAGATCATTTGTTCTGAGATAATTTGTCCTTAGATCATTTGTCCTGAGATCATTTGTTCTAAGATCATTTGTTCTGAGATCATTTGTCTTTAGATCATTTGTCCTGAGATCATTTGTTCTAAGATCATTTGCCCTGAGATCATTTGTATTTAGATCATTTTTCCTGAAATCATTTGTTCTAAGATCACTTGTTCTAAGATCATTTGTTCTGAGATAATTTGTCCTTAGATCATTTGTCCTGAGATCATTTGTTCTAAGATCATTTGTTCTGAGATCATTTGTCTTTAGATCATTTGTCCTGAGATCATTTGTTCTAAGATCATTTGCCCTGAGATCATTTGTCCTGAGATCATTTGTTCTTAGATAATTTGTTCTGAGATCATTTGTTCTGAGATCATTTGTCCTTAGATCATTTGTACTGAGATCATTTGTTCTAAGATAATATGTCCTGGGGTAGTTTGTCCTGACATCATTTTGTTTTCCTGATATCTTTTTTCCCGAGGTCGTGTTTCCTGATGACGTTTGTCCGATGACGTTTGTCTTGATGAGGTTTGTCCTGATGACGTTTGTCTTGATGAGGTTTGTCCTGATGACGTTTGTCTTGATGAGGTTTGTCCTGATGACGTTTGTCCTGATGAGGTTTGTCCTGATGACGTTTGTCCTGATGAGGTTTGTCCGATGACGTTTGTCATGATGAGGTTTGTCCTGATGATCTTTGTCCTGATGAGGTTTGTCCGATGACGTTTGTCATGATGAGGTTTGTCCTGATGATCTTTGTCCTGATGAGGTTTGTCCGATGACGTTTGTCATGATGAGGTTTGTCCTGATGATCTTTGTCCTGATGAGGTTTGTCCTGATGACGTTTGTCCTGATGAGGTTTGTCCTGATGACGTTTGTCCTGATGAGGTTTGTCCTGATGACGTTTGTCCTGATGAGGTTTGTCCTGATGACGTTTGTCCTGATGAGGTTTGTCCTGATGACGTTTGTCCTGATGAGGTTTGTCCGATGACGTTTGTCATGATGAGGTTTGTCCTGATGATCTTTGTCCTGATGAGGTTTGTCCTGATGACGTTTGTCCTGATGACGTTTGTCCTGATGACGTTTGTCCTGATGACCTTTGTCCTCTCACCCTCAGTGAGAATCAAACCGTGTTCAAGTCAATTTAAATTTAGAAGCCGCCATCTATTTCTTTTTCGAAGCGGCCATTTATTAATATTTAGAAGCGGCCATTTATTAATATTTAGACGCGGCCATCTGTTTCTATTTAGATGCGGCCATATATTTATATTTAGAAGCGGCCATCTAATTGTATTTAGAAGCGGCCATCTGTTTCTATTTAGAAGAGGCCATATATTTATATTTAGAAGCGGCCATCTAATTGTATTTAGAAGCGGCCATCTGTTTCTATTTAAAAGCGGCCATATATTTATATTTAGAAGCGGGTAATATTTTTTCTGTGAAAGCATCGACTTATGACAGGGGTCGGCAACCTTTTGAGACGGAAGAGCCAAAAGTTACAATTTTCAAAATTTCCCAGTTTTTAAAGAGCCACTAACATTATTTTTAAATTTCAATATTTTATTATTTGATTAGGAATAGGTAAATAAATTTGATTTGTTATTTAAAATAATTAGCTTTAAAATATGAAATAATATTTTTTCATATAAAAACATACACTTGTTTCGCCAGAATAATGAAATTAGTAATAAAAAATAGCACTATCTCAATCCACTTTAGAAGCAGTTAGCTTTTTAAAATTTTCTTTACGGACATCACCGGCTCAGGACGTGTCTCCATTAGCAAGGCAGGCCTAAAAAGCCGACTAATTGGCTTGGATATCCGTTTGATTACCGTGTATCGGTCGCTTCTGTCCTTTGGTTCTCATAAGGCTTATCTTCCACCCCACAGAACGCAGGGTAAACTCGAACCCCACCGTCCAGTACCCGGCTCGACAGTAGGAAACTAATAACTTAAAACAATACGTCACTCAGGTCAAATTAAAATGATTACCGACAGATAGGGAGATACATTCTGAATAAAATAATATTCCCCATTCAATGATATTCGAAAAAGTCGGCACTTGGGTAGTGGCAGGCATGAAATAGACGCCACGGGGCTGGCCACAACACGAATGTGGGGCTGGACCTGGTACCCAAACGGCTGTCCGTATACTTTCTAGTGCATATATTCGCACTGTTCTCTGATGAGTTTTATTCTTGCGTTTCTTTACAGTATAATTTTTGTTATGAGTTTTGAATATAAAATATTATAACTATTAATATTTGTGAAAGGAGCTGGAGAGCCGCATCGTGACATCAAAGGAGCCGCATGCGGCTCGCGAGCCGCAGGTTGCCGACCCCTGACTTATGATTTTATTGATTCTTCCATATTTTTTTATTTTTTTTTTTTATTTTTTAAAAATACTTTTATTTGCAATTTAAAACAAGTACATCAACATCAAATTCTTTACATAATTTCGAACACCAAATGAAAACGAAGGGTTTTGCAAATGTACATAATGAATATTTACATGATGACATGTATGTGATTATACAAAATTGAAAGGGATAAAAGTAAAAGGGGTGAAGGTCAAATAAGGGTGTCGGGAGTCCGGGTGGGAGTGGAGAGGAAATCGTTCAAGGAGAGGGTGGGGGTGGTGGTTGGGGAGAGTCAATGGGACAGTGAAGCATTTTCTATGTAGAAAAACAAATTGATTCTTCCATAAATGTTAGTGTTATAGCGAATCGAAAAAGAATACGTATTAAACGATTTAATCAAGTTTTACACCTGTACTGATTAAATACTTGATTAATATATTGTTTTTTTAATTGAAACTACATTTCAATAATAATTCTAAGATCCATAAAAATATAAGATACAGATAAACAGCTCTATATTACTTTACTATTCTTTCTAAACACACAAACATATTTCCAATGTTTTTAGTTCTTCAAAATTTCTATGTTTGTTTAACGACTTTTAAAACATAGGGACATTTTGTCTCCCTTGGCGTTTTTTATCTTTAAATGGGAAATAATTAACGCAAATAAATTGTGAATGGAAATTTTTTTCTTTATAAATAATATAACAATCACGGAGCATAGGTGGTGTTGCTATAAAAGTTCTTACATATTCATTTTTCTTTAACTTTAAGTGCTAAGAAAATTGCATTGAAAATACTTGCAATCAATTAAATTTGTAATAGATTGGCAAAATTAGAAATGTATATAGCAATCGTTTATCATTTTATAAAAAATATATTAATAATCTAATTATGCATAAGTTTATGTCCTCGGATCTTGACCTTCACCTACTTGCGTAGAAGTAGGTCAAGTACAAGTACGTGAAGTTTTGTTTCATGTTATCTACCTTTAAGGGGCAAAGCGCGGTAAGTCTAGATCTGCTATACGATGTTTGGTTAATTAAATTGCCCACGATTGTGTGTTATAACTAAACACAAATCATATTGTCTCATTTTCTGAAATAGATGTATTGATTATTAAAAATATGACCCACACATTTCAAAGATTTTCATCCAATAAGGCCGCTGCTCCGAAAGATTTTTAAACATTTTATGAGCCGCAAGAATGGGACCATCATTGAAGGCCATATAAAGATTTAGGCCAATCGACCAACATTGCAGGCCATGGAAATATTGTGAAGGCCATAGGGCTAACACTGTATGACATATATAGACTATACGGCCAAAACTGTATGACGTAGGAATATCATGTAGGCCATAGGGCCAACACGCTAGGGCAAAGACATATGTAGACCACACGGCCAAAACTGAATAATATCATGTAGGCCATAGCGCCAATACTGTGCGACGGAAATAACGTCTATGCCATAGGACTAACACATAAAAACAACACATACAAAACGAGCCTACAACAATTTATTGAATGTTATTATCAAGGAACTACGAGCTTCCAGCCTATGATTATATATTTTTCTCTTCTAAACATCAACAGACAAGAAAAAAAACAAATTTAAAACTACTGGTGAAGATTTAGCTGATCATTCAACCCAAGTCTAACTTTGTGCACTAGACAGATAAATCCTCAGACATATACGTTTTCAAATAGATACATCTTGTCTCAAGGACTGTACAATTTCGTGTCTGGATTATCGAAAGAAATAATGGGTGGTATACGACTAGACAAAGGTCATTGATCGACATATCGTAGCATCTCTATGGATTTGAGAGTCCACATAACTCTTATTTCATACAATTTCATCAACAAAATAACCTTATCTCTAAAACCGAAACTCAGCTAAATGAGATTATTTGAATTAACAAAAACGTTTTCGATATTCAAAGCACATACAAAGAGTATTAAAAATTATGTCTTGTGTAATCTACGTCAGAAAATGCTGTTCACATAATATTTACAAATCCTAAATGCACCAATGTTGATTTAGTTTTCTAAACTAAGTCATCAGTTTATTTATCAAGCAATGTAGCATGTTCTTTCATCTTTAAAAAAGAATCTGTCAGTTTTTTAAGCCCCCTTACATATTTTGTTATCATTTTCTTGATATAATTTGCTTTAAAAAAATTCTTATTCAGAATTAAACAAACACATCGTGTCACTTTGGATATTCTGTCTCCTTTCAGTTCCTGCTTGGAGTGAAATCTGCCCACTCTATTTTACATGAATAAATCAAATGAATCTGTTCTAGATATATCAATTAAAATGACATCTTGTTTTTGTATTTCCTGGATCTCAATTCAATTGTTTGTTTATATTCTAAATATTTCTACAAGCTTTTATTAAATCCGATTCCTCTTCCTGCCTAGAATCGATTCTCCACCCACTTCTAATCTACGAATTCATTTTAAACTTTAAGCAAGGAATCAATGCAATCATCAGTTAGACATGTAATTAATTATTTAAGTGGGCACTCATTATTAATTTTTAATTATTATTGCTTTTAACATTCCTAAGACTAGGGGGTATGTGATACGTCATTTTAAAACTAAACTTGCACATGAGATAAAACACGTACTTGATTAACTTGCTAGTGGGTCATTTATGTATTGATTTATCCTTTCAAAATTCTGCTGATTCTTATTATTACAAGCTTTTATTTAACTTGCTTCCTCTGTCGTCATGTCGTCATGTCGTCATGTCTTCATAGATCGAAACGGGCGAGCCAAATTTCTATCACTTCTAGCTGGCTGATTCATTTTAAACTGTAAAGCGTTGGTCACTATATTATCTATAGGATATCTTTACTAATATTTCGGAAGAGACCCACGCTTTTCGTTATAGTTATTTAAGTAGTAGGGTATTATTATCTATCCAAAGAAAATCGTTTATTTTCTCCTTTTTGCGTTTTATTACATACACGCGTTTTATTAAAACGTTTTTTTTATTAATTTTTTTATGTATTTGAGTCAAATAATATTTTTAAAAATAAAGTAACTTAACTTCTTTTTACCATAAGTATTTTTTAAAATTTGAAGTGAGGTCATTGCTGCTTGTGTTAATACGTTTAGACCGAACCGCTTAAACAAGATATGTGGATATTAATAGTAGCATATAGTGCTGCATGAGTTGGGTGTATTTGCATATGCACACTAATTTCGAAATATATTTTAAAATAGTGTATCGACTTCAGTTAAAACGTAGTATATTGAAAATAAATTTTCCAATTTCTTGTGTTTGTGAAGTATAGGCCATTTTTAGATTTTTTAACTTTTGATAGTACATATTGATACTGATTCAAACTATCAACGTAATAAATAAGCAGAAATAGAACCACCGTGACGTTAATAGTTTCTCGTTAAATAACATCCCCTCCCTTGTTTACACACCAGGCACGTGACCCCCGTGTAAAGAGAATGAGCCAAGATAAAAAAAAATACGTAGTTAAGCGGGACAACCGGTGAGAAAAGGAGCACTGGCCTCATGTTTACCGCCCCTGGTTTGCAGATTTTAATAATCCGATAATCGCTCCTGCTATTGGCCACGTCTGCCGGTGAGCATTAGGACGTCACGTTTATCTTATCACGAGCCTGGCAAAGGTTCGATTATACGGCGACTTCCGGTCATGACTCGCTCGTTCAAATTGTTAATGTCCTTTGCATAAGGTCAGTTGCATTGGAATCGGGAGTTCTTGAGATTGGGTTTTAGGAGAGAATGACGGATTGATTTGACCGAGTAAGACACTTTCAAAATACTAAAACAACAATAGTCACACTGAAGGTATAGGTCAAGATAATGATGAGTATAAAGACATGAATAACAGAGTATTGTATTTCATACAAAAACAATAGAATCAGCGGCTGCGGCGTAAAAATAATGATATTCCAGATGATTCTTAACGGTGAAGTTATTATTAATACCAGTACAACTCATGTGGGTGGCATGGCACTGTTGTAGGTGTACGGCAAGAACCGTGCAAGCTTGCAGATAAACTCAAAGATGGACAATGTTATTAGAACTCAAAGATAAATTATGAAATTAGACATAAAAGATTAACTATAATATTAGACCTCAAAGTTCGAATATGATATTAGACATAAAAGCTGGACTACGATATTAGAACACAAAGATAAATTATGTTATTACACCACATTGATTGACTATGATACTAGACCTCAAAAAAGGACTATATTTGACCTCAAAGATGGACTATATTTGATCTCAAAGATAGATTATATCTGACCTCAAAGATGGACTATGATATTAGACCTCAAAGATGGTCTGTGATATTAGAACACAAAGATTTACTATGATATAAACCTAAATATGGACTAAGATATTTGACAACTACAGTGTTCACAGTAGTTTAAAAAAAGAAATTAATTTTATATATGTTTTAAAATTATGTTTTGTAACTGTTTTGTCTCGTGTGGTTTTTGAGCAGATTAAATAGAATAAATCAGTTTCTGTCACCTCGGTAATGAAGGGATAATATGGTTTTCACTGCCCAGCCGCCTTTACATTCCCTAATGTAAGTCAGGTACCCATTTAAGCTGGGTGGACTCATTGATATTCTCCGGACTCGAACCCAAAATCGGGAGTTTCAAGTTAGCCATCATACGCTCTATCTTTCGACCACGCGTTGGTTATGATTTTAAATATGAATTATAATAAAAAAAATTTAATTGATCACTTTATATACACCAACAGTCGTATCTGGTAGTGGAAGATAATTTTAGATAATGAAACGTTAGTTTTTTTTTCTGTAAAACTAAAATAGCTATACAGTTTATTTTAGGTAATCAGGCAATAAAGTGTATGTAAATTGCTGGCAGATTAAAGATTATTTCAGACATCAGTCATGGTCTGATGTATGTGTCATTTGCGTACAGACTTTCATTCAGTGAGACGGTTATGATAATTTATTACAAAACAATTTCAATATCATAGCGATAATTCAAAAAGAAAAAAAAATCAAATTACAAATCATAAGAAACCAAAGGCAGATTTATTCTTCAATTAGACGTACCGGACTCAAAGATATTTTGAAATTAAAATGCGAATAAATCTACAAACCAATTTTGAATTTTATATTTTGATCTCAAGAAATTTTGTATTCGAGTGTTTTAGATCGTGAGTTGAAACGTGATGTGTTTTATAGTTGTCTCATATCAAACTCCCAGCGGACTTTTGAAACTTCTTGTCTCTTTTTCTACAAACTACACTCAAACTTTGTGACCTGTGCATTTCTTCCATCACTCTCTAGTCACATTTTGGAATGCAAACCTCTAAAAGACACATAGCTGTATACTGCCCTCTAAAAAACACATTGTTGTATACTGCCCTCTAAAGTCACATTGTTGTATACTGCCCTCTAAAGTCACATTGTCACTATGCCTAGCCGCCTGAACACACCCTATTGTTACAGAATATGGTTACTCTCTGGGAAATTCAGTTGTACCAGAAAGTGTACAGCATAGTCATACAAGTTTCATTATTATTCTAACTGAATGCATAGCTGTGAGATTAAATTTGAACATTTGATTATAGCTTAGAAGTATCTTTCTATAGAAATCAGCTACTGTCTAGTGTAGCGAATTGGAAGATATTCGTGTGCAGTATCGTGTGGAAACTTGGATGCCCAGTATCGCTGAGTGCACCCATTCACTCTCTCGTATACATCTGGGTCCTTGGCCAGACATGAATGGTAATCCGGATATTCCATTTTCTCAACTAAACGTGCGCCGGCACGCAAATACACACACATTTACACCCTCACACTCTCGCACATACCCCCACACAAACGAGACAGGATGTCAGTGTCGAGAATTCCTAGACGCCTCACAAAAGACATGGAAACCGTGCGAGAGGGGGGGGGGAGGCGGATCCGGGAGATGGCCAGATAACTCGACACGTCATCTTCTCGTTTGAAGTTATTTTTGAGAATAAAATGTAAATGTGGATCGACACCCCCTCAGATACATATACATTCGAGCATAGAAAGCCAGTATAGACAAAATGTCTTAACATAACTGAACAGTATGGCTTACAATGGTGATTTAACGTGAAATATATAGATAGGTTTTGCTTATTCTAAAGCATTGGAAGACCTTTTTACACAGACTTACAAGACATCCGCCATCGAGTTAAACATTGAATGGGTTTGATTGGGTCGTTGCAATTAAATTAACTAGTTATAGAATGATTATGAACCCGCTAGGGCGAAAGTGTGATTAATTAAGCAAACTGTAAAAACATGTAATCTCCATTTTTTAATAATCAAATACGAGTATTTGGATGTTGATTGATCAAGAAGCAGTGTTTAAAGAAAGTAAAAGCTACATTCACAACATACTGAATAGCAATTTTTAAGACTTTAATATCCGGATGTGCTTTGAAGCCTTAATTGCACAATTGGACAAACTTTTTTCTAGACGACTTTGGTGGTTCTTAGAGCCGAATTAAAAAATCTGTTGATAAATCAATAATCCGCTTTATGCCAGTAATAATTAATCGCTCACAAAACAGCCAGACAATCAATTTCCCGGCCGGTACACACAATAGTGATGCAATGAATTAAATCAGGAAGGCCGGAGTGAATAGAAATTGTAATTTTTTTTTCATTACTAAAATCCAAATTTGGAAACTGTTAAGCAGTGTTTTGTTAATAAAATAATGGCAATGATTTTCAATCAAATGTAACTGTTGCAACTAGCGTCGTTTCATAATGCTTCGTAAAATAAAACAAAGTAAACGATCATTTGAGAGAGATGATTGTATGTAAAAAAATGTTATTTCAATTATCATGTGACAGTCTTCAACAAGCTCATGCTATTTGTATTGAGAATTTTATTGGTGTTAGTAAGTGCCTTGTCAGATAAACGAAACGATAACTTTTATGACGATATGTTTCTGTGATTGTATACTAGTTGAAACAAATGATGAAACATTTTTTATAATTTTGGAAATGTTGGTCCGTATTTTACTTCTCTAATTGTGATTTATCCATCTACACACTGTTGCACGTATCTGAGAATTACTTTTCTGTTTAGATGGTTTAATGCTCATGGTAAGGTCAATTTAAATGTAACATGTTGGTTACTTATTCCACCTACAAATGAAGGACTAACACATTTCAAAACTTAGATGAGTCTTCTGTATAAACATGTTTAAGTAAAAATTGTATTTTCATTTTCTAATTCCTTTTCTTCTGTTCACCTTCATATATTTATTTATTTTGATGGAAAATATCTTTAGCTACCTAAGGTTTCTGAACGTCTAAAAAAGAGTCTAGTTTTTTTGTTTGTTTTTTATTAGTCTGCTTTGAAATTTTCTGTTATAATGATTGACCTAATGCCTTCCATTTAAAACTATTAAAATAAGATGCACTCACAAAGCATAAAAAAGAGTCTATTTTTTATTTTTTTTTTTTTTTATATATAAAAAAGAGTCTAGACCAGTGGTTCCCAACCTTTTTCGAGTGGCGACCCCCTTTTATAAAAAGTAAGTGACCCGCGACCCCCAT